CCGATAACGGTAAGACCTTAACCCGATGGGAAAATTAAGAGATCTCATTATTATTTCAAAAGGGTTTAAAACAAATGTGCATATTATTTTATTTGGAGTATTATTTATTTATGCATGATGTGAAATGTATGATTGTGCATGAAAACCATGAACTCACCGAGCTTTATAAAACTGACTATTAGTATGCATCTCATGAGCTGAGTATTCAAGAACGGAAAAGGGCAAGGGTTCTGCGTAGGAGTTAAAAATTTTATTCGAGTTATGAATTATAGAATTCGTATTAGCTTAACTGAATTTATTGTAATGTAACCCGATATGGGATGGGTTAATTTTGAGACATTTATTTACGATTAAATTATTGTAAGACTTTCGCTGCGATAAGGCTTTATTAGCCGCTAGAATTTGGATTTTATTTTATTTTATTACGTGACACCTTGTATTTGAAAGGAGGGTGTTACATTATACTTATGCACTATTTACTTGTAATCTTGAATTTCAAGTAATATGTATCGATAAACAATATTTGATATATAAAAAATGGTTTTTAAGACTTTACCTCGAATGCTTTATGATATAGTATATATATTAGTAAAATACAAGCTTGTTCCATGAAGTGAGGATGGAACACACCTGTTTTATTTTATTCTATTATATTTATGTTTATTCCAAAAACTATTATATCAAAATTGGAGTTAATTTTTTAATATGAATTTGAATTTTCCATCTTAATTTATTTGAAGATGTTTTTGAAGATCCCATTAAACAAGTACAACTGATTAGACGCTACGCATTAGGGGTGACAATGGGTCAAGTTAGGTTGGATTTGGTTTAACCCATTTATTAAACATGTTAAAAATCTCAATTCAATTGAACCGAACCTGCTTAAATAACTTTTAACCCAACCCAACATGTTACCTAAATGAGTTGATAGCAAGTTGACATGTTTATGATTTTCTCAACTCAAACTGTTAAATAAATAAGTTGAACCTGACTTGATTCATTTAATTAAAAAAATTTAAATAAAAATAAAAAGAATTAGACTATTAATTTTACGACAAATACGAATAAATTGTTCAATGTTTGAATAAAACACAACCACAAATGCAAATAAATTGTTCAAAGTTTCAATCTTACCTCTTCAATCGATGGAGAGTTGGAGTGTTATGCTAGAGGCGGACATAATGAACTGATTATTAGGGTTTAATTTTTACAGATGGGAGAGAGAAATAGGTTGAAAATAAATATTACAGTTAAATAATAATATTTAATTAAAAATAGAATAAAATAGTATAATAGTTTAAATAAGTTGAAAACAGGTCCAAAATTTCAATCCAATCCAATCCAACTGATTTAAATAAATGAGTTAGACGGGTTAACTAATTAAATGAGTTAAAATCTCAATCCAACCTGCTAATTTTGGGTTGGATTCAGGTTGAGTCAATTTTTGCCAGCTCTACTAGGCTTGCCATTCCTCCCTTCTCTTACTTTTTCACAAATAGCCCTTGTATTTTGTAGAAATTTCAAACATAAAACAAACTTAAAATTGCATAATTAGCATTATTTTGATAAACTTTGTAAAAAAAATGACTGATAGGTAAATTCAATTGATCAAAATGACTATTTTAATTAATTTTTTATATTATATTATTAGAGATTTGTTTTAATTATATATTAATATATTATAATTAATTAATTTTTTAAGATATTCTTTTTTATTATTTTACATTTTTAACACCTAGTTTTACCAAATTTGATCAACTGGGTTATTAGTTAGGGGCTGTTTGACCATTGTTGAATGGTTTGGTGCAGAATGATTAAATAGTCAGAATGATTAAGTAGTCAGAATAATATATAGTATAAAATGAAATATAATTGTTTGGTAATTATGTACAACGAAATTATGATTCTTAATGGTTAAGGAAGATTCATGATACAAAATCATTTAGAAGCTTTTAGAATTATTAAAAGGCAGACATTTTATTTGCCAAACAAGATTTATCTCTTAATAATTCGGAGATTGCCTTTTAATGGAAGTATTAATAGATAATCAAACAACCTTAGGGGTGTTTGGGATTGCTTATTTAAAATTAGTCTTACTCATACCATTCCTCCCTTCTCTAATTTTTCACAAATAGCCCTCGTATATTGCAGAAATTTCAAACACAACCCTATACCCCTTCTTCGATGCTCAGAAGAGAAGAAGCGAGAGCGCCTTGCTCCTTCCTGTACACAGTTTCAGGGCCTATCAGCCACCATTGCCGTCTCTCATCACCTTCAATACTCGCTTCCTATCCCTAGGTATCAACGGTGGTCACTTCTGATCGGACGGCTTTCCTCTCGTCAGAAACTATGACCATGATGACTCAACAACCGTTGGATGTACGCATCTACCTCTGTCTGTATGTGTGTCAAGTTCTAGTTGCTGCAGTCATATACATACATGCGAACCCGTCACTTGTTGTTGTTTTGCGGATGTAGTTTCTGTTATATTTAAAGGTTTTGCGACTTGTGATCGTGCTAGGGTTTTGTGATTAGTGTGTTAATTTAGTTTAATTGGCAATTTGAAGTGTTAATTTGAGGTTCTTCTATTTGTAGGGGGGATAAATTAGGGTTTTACTTTGATCAGAGTTTGGTAGTTGATTGGTTTGTTTGTATTGTTTGTTGTTTGAATGTATGTGTTTTTACTTTTATCTCTTTTAAAACAGCAAGAAGATGAAGATATGCTTGTGCTGCAAACGGAGCTAGTGGAAGGTCCTATTGCTTTAGATGGTACTCCACCCGTCGAAGGCCCTCGTCCTATGGAAGGTTTGTGCTTCACTTTGTGTGTTTGAAGGATTATCAACTCTGGTGAAGGTTCCTTAATAAACTATCTTCGCTTGTGATAAGGAAAAACTGTGTTAATGTCTGCTTGCGTACATAGAACCCTCTGTGCAGATGTTTTTTTTTATAATTTCTTGTAGTTATTAGCAACGGTCAAGTGTGTGTGTGTGCGTGCTGTTGTTATGGGCAGGTGGCTGTGTCCATTATTAGCTTTTTGAGTTTTCATTTTGTAATTTGGATTTATCAGTCGTGGGACAAGCAGAAGTTGTTAGCACTGCGGAGAATCAACCAGTTGATGAAACTCAGGCATCTAGGTTTACATGGGCAATTGAGAATTTCTCCCGTCAGAACAGCAAAAAGCTTTATTCTGATGTTTTCATGGTTGGAGGATATAAATGGTAAACAACCATCTCCTGTTTTTGAGTTACCATAAGTCTGTGATATTCTTTGTTGTTTCTTACTTCCATAATGATTATTTTTGGCAGGCGTGTGCTTATATTTCCAAAGGGAAACAATGTGGAGCATTTGTCCATGTATCTTGATGTGGCTGATTCCCCTATCTTGCCATATGGTTGGAGTAGATATGCACAATTCAGTTTGGCTGTGGTCAATCAGGTTCACAATAAGTTCACAATAAGAAAAGGTATGTTATGCTTAAGTTTTCAGTTGTTGAGAATTTATGCTTTGGATAAAACTTACTTTTGTTACAGGACACCTCATAGTCGTAGTCACATTTTGTCTTTTAAAAAACTTATGGATCATCTGTGTTAATGTATCATAAAATTTATGCTTCTCATGCATTTAGTTCCGACACTATATATTTGATTTATAAATTTGAACCTTTATGAAGATAAGTCTATGAAGTGATAATGAAGTTTGAGATACTTTGATGAGCTTTCTTTGGAGAACAGCACTGGATTCTCTGTGTTCATATTCTTATACGAATGCAGTGATAGGGGTTTGTAATTTGTTCGGCCTGTCAGGCTATCATGGCAGACTGAGAGACAGTGTTCCTGTTTCAAGGCATATGGTGTACCTTTTTGTCGAGTGACAGAATAAAAACCTCAGCTGTGTATTCCAGGGAGTTATATACATATTTGTAAATATGGCAACTGATAGATTTTGTCAAATGACAAAATTGAAGATACATGACTTGGGAACAAGTTGCAAACTACGATCAACAGCTATCGAATATGTTAAATTTTCTGGTTATACTTTATATAATGTGTTTCTTGATGCATATAGGATTCCTTCTCTTTCTTGATGAAGTCACCTGGATCTTTTTCCTGTACTGTTAAAAAATTGAGTTCAATCTTTCTATTAAAACCCAACCAAGTCAGTGTACCCATTATATCCCACTCGGAAGTTGGGTAGGGAATAGGGATAGATTGTACGCAAATATTGCCTCCCAAGGAGTAGAGAGGCTGTTTGAGTTCAATCTTTCTATTTGTGGAATATGGTACTCCCTCAATCCCTCTACTCATACATTAATAAAAATTATTTGAATGATGATCAAATACCTAAACACCTCACCAATATATTGTAATTACTGTTAATGGGAAATAGGTAAGTTTGCAAAGGAATCTTCATAGAGTAGATATGTTGCATTTTCTGGGATAACCCAAAATAGAAAGTGCTGCATTTTTTTTGGGATGAGGGAGTGCTAAAGAAGATAAAATTGTTGAGATATAATGATTTTCTTGTTTTTCTAATTTTTATTTTCGCTTATTATATCCATGGTCATTAATCCATCAATCTCTTACTCTTGGTTATTTTGGTAAGGAACTTACCTATTATTTGAACCTTAAGCGGCACCTTTTATACTAAATGAGACTCTTTATTTGGAAGTTGGAACAATCATTTTCCTCACAAACTACACTCTAGTTTTGGAATGGAGGGTGTAACAACTTGAAAGTAAACCATTAGTCTGCACAAGGTTATAGAGGAAGTATGGTGGTTGACTTTCTGTTTAGATGCAGATACTAACTGCTGCATATTGCAGTATTCTAAATTTGTTTGTATGCTTGTTGTAGGTTGGGTAAATGATTGCTTGTGTGTTATCAAAAAACTTTCTCACAGGATGAAAACTAAGAGACACTCCCTTGTCCCAGAATGTGGTCTTTTTTAGTAGACCATCAGAGAAGCTAAATGATGTATCACATAGGTTGTTCCATAGAAAACAGGTAGGGCACTTAAATTCTTAGTTCCATCTATACAAGAAAGCACTATCAGAAAAACAATGTAATGTTCTATTGTGCAATTAATGGATCCCCTATCTACAAAAAAAAGTAAATGCAGCTTAGTTGCTTTCAAGTGCAAGCCATCAAATGAACTTTTGAATATTTAAAGGAATTTCATTTTGACTAACTGTTAAACTTTTGTTAGAATGCCAAGATGATATTTTAAAATGCTTGCAGTTGAATCAAGCAAACTTGTAATTGAAAAATGGTATCAATGACAAAGATATTGTTACTGGAAATGAGTCCATTACAATATTGCTCTTATCTTCATGTTCAACCTACGGTATCAAACTCGAAATATGGAAGTGTTAAATTGTTTGGAGATGTGAGGGTTAGAAACTATATAGAGAAGTTCAGTGATAACGACTTGACCCCTATCCAATTTTTGGGTCAATTCCCCCTTGCTCTGCCATCAATCTTTCCATGCTTCTTCTAGCTGAGGCAACTCTGTACCGATGTCTCATTGAAGTAACTTTGTAATAGATGTTTCAAAGTGAGGTCATCCATGTTTTCTAAACTCTCTTCATAGCAAAAGCTTGATTATCTACATCAGCCTTTTAGACCGACAATAAGTTTCTATCATAAAGCATCTATCTTCTTGAAACAGCCTAGTACGATCGTTAGTAGAACACCTCACTTTGTTTTAGCACACATGCATTATAGGCATATATTTATCCCTTCTAGCATGTGCTATGCGGAGTTGTTTTTGGTGAGTATTATCTTGTGAGTTGTGTCACTCGGATATACCAAGATAAAAATCTCAAAATTTATCCATGAATTGAAGCCCAACAAGATTTTGTTTTTCCCATTATAACCTAATATTCAATTGCAATTTTTAGGCATATGAGTTCAGAGCTATTGTTTTTGGATTCAACATGTGCTTTCAATTTAGTTGCTAATTCTACTTGAGCAGGATATTGATTATTATTTACATGGGTGTAAATTCTAGTTGGTCGAGGAACTGAAGCTAATTGGAGTATGTTAGTGCTTGGAGAGATTTTGCAAGTATCTGATTCTTGTAAAACTGTTCTCGAATTCTCTTTGATGTTAGCCATGCCTCTGATATTTCACAAGAGATTATTAATTATGGCTAGATATGGAACAACTTGACAGTTACTGCCATGCATTATTTTGTAATTTTTTATCATGAATAAAATTCACTTGTTTATGCTTTTCCTGAAGGGAAGATACACATAAATCTTGGAATACAGGACACCACTTTTGGCAGCTAATGCGATCAAGAATGTAACACCAATCTGACTTATTTGGGCATGCATTGTATAGATCCTTATTTGTCTATAAACATTTAACCATGGAATCAATAGCTCTTATGATCTTGAATGTGAAATGGACCGGCTGGCCGTTTGCTCTGTACTAACGGGCAACTCTGCTGGCCTCTTTTTAATAAGAACAGTTCAAAGAAAAGGTTATAAGAGCATAAATTATATGAGTTTATTGCAAGTTTTGTATAAAGAACAACTCTGTCGAGTTGAATAATCGAATGAAGAGTGCTGCTTTGTATAGAAGGGAGGGGATCTCATTTTATTCTAGTAGACAAAGATCCATATAATTACTAATCCTTGCTTTAGTCATAATCATCCCAATTCTGCAGACACACAGCACCAATTCCATGGAAGGGAAAGCGATTGGGGGTTCACGTCTTTTATGCCTCTTGGTGATCTATATGACCCCAGTAAAGGTTATCTTGTGAATGACACATGTGTTATTGAAGCTGATGTTGCTGTACGCAAAGTAGTTGATTATTGGACATATGACTCAAAGAAGGAGTCTGGCTATGTTGGACTTAAGAACCAAGGAGCAACATGCTATATGAACTCTCTACTTCAAACATTGTACCATATTCCTTACTTTAGAAAGGTATTCGTCATCTGTGCTCATATGAATTCTGTCTTTAAAAGGAAGCATCTCATTTGGAATTTAATATCAGGCTGTGTATCATATGCCGACAACAGAAAATGACATGCCGTCAGGGAGTATTCCTCTGGCTCTTCAGAGCTTATTCTATAAGCTTCAATACAATGAAACTAGTGTTGCGACAAAAGAGTTGACAAAATCTTTTGGATGGGATACATATGATTCTTTCATGCAACATGATGTTCAAGAACTTAACAGGGTCTTGTGTGAAAAACTTGAAGACAAAATGAAGGTGAGGTTTCTGTTTGATGGTCCAAGTCTTTTCTGTTCATGTTTGTTCTGACTTACTGATTGTTGTTTGCTCAGGGAACAGTTGTGGAGGGTACAATACAAAAGTTATTTGAAGGACACCATATGAATTACATTGAATGCATCAACGTGGACTTCAAATCAACTAGAAAAGAATCATTTTATGGTATCAATTATGTTGAAAGTATTGGAACAGTCTTGTATAGTTTTGAGTCTGTTTTGATTAATGGCATCATAATGTTAATTTCAGATCTTCAACTTGATGTGAAAGGCTGTCAAGATGTTTATGCTTCTTTTGACAAATACGTTGAAGTCGAACGACTCGAGGGTGACAATAAATATCATGCTGAAGAATATGGTTTGCAGGTTAGCTGTTCATTCTTGTTTGTAAATTGCATGTAACAAATTCCATTGATATTTTAAGGCTTACCATCAACCGTTGTTGTAATTACGTTTTGGCAAAATCAATCCATGTGCCATTGAAGATCCCATTGTCCTTAATAAGATCTTGCAACTGAAATCCTTAATTTGGATTAGCAATGCATAGTAAGCACCAGTGGCAAAACCTAGAATTGCGCGAGGGTAGTATGTCACTGAAATATGGAAGACTGAAGAAGTGGAAAAAATATTGAACTTCTGACTAAGAAAATCTTGCACTCATTTGTGCAGTCGGTTTGATGCACTCTGAAAGAAATGGGGAGGAATTACAAATGTAATAGACTGATTGATATGAAAATTGAAGGGTTACAATTAGGTTTCTGGCTTTCGAGAGGCCAGAATCTCTTCACAGACTCACGTCTAAAGGGTTCACTAAACAGAATGACCACCTATTAGTGCCTCACGGCTTATTTATACTAGACATATGCATTACCTACTTGTACGCCAATGCAATAACTGCTTGTACCACTACTAGCATAGGGTATAATAATACCCGCCCCCCAAACATCCACCTTGTCCTCAAGGTGGAAAGAAGAAGAACAAAAATTGGTCCAGCCACTTCATATGATTCCTCCGATATCCTTCAATGGAAAATAAACATTTCAGATAAGTCGTCAAAATCTGTTGCTTTAAACCATCTTCCGAACCCCAGAAATGACCATCATTTTGCTTATCAAAGCCAAAACAACCCATCTCCACTTCCTCTTCCTCATCTTTGGCAAATTTTGCAACATCCTGTGCATCCTCCCAATTTGAAAGAGTACTCCCTCTTGACATCAAAGGAAAGAGTTGAAGTTCCCGAACAAGAGTACAAACTGCAGGTCGTGATTCCTTACCCGCATGGAGTCGTGCTTCATGGCTGTGGTATGATCTTGCATAAGGCTCTAAAATTGGAAGACCAATGGCAATCAGTGGAAGCTCGACAATGACCCGCCCAACATCGCATATAAGTCGCTCCAGCTCTATTATCTCCACATCCAATAATATCAGGAAGCAAAGTAGCTGGTGAAGTTTGTTGAACAATCCTCCCGCCATTCTTATGTTGGTTATAATCTTCAATTCACCTACAATTGGAATCCTCACCTGCTGCTTCAAGTCAGTTTCCAGCCATTGTAACCCAGTAATCACATGAGAATTCCCCAGGTAAATTGATAACAGTTCATACATGACTTCAACCCTTTGTCTACACAGTTTAACTCCCTTATAAATGCTCACTCCTTTCAATGTCTTTCTTGTTCTCATAGTGATGCTATTCTCATTGGTACTAGTTACTGGTAATTGAAACTTCTCAAACCTCTTGCTTTGAAATGAAATTGTGGGTGGCACTTTTGAGCACTACCATAGTAACCCCCTCAATAGTGCCGACTAACTTCATTGATTTTTGATTAATTAACCTTACCAGGTTCAAGTGTACCTCGATTTTTGGTCCCACCTCTGTGGCTCCACTACCGTCCAGTAGCTGTAATTTCACCACTATTTTCTTAATGAATTCCCATCCAGGTATCCAATTCAAAGGCTCGACGATATCCCGTTGGTTTATGGTTAATGACGGTGATGGTTGTAAGAACGATGAAGGTGGTGGTGAAAACGATCGTCATGGTGGAGGTAGTGGCGGAGTTGTCAGCGTAGGTGGTGGTTCACGATGACCATCTCCCCACCAGATTCTCCTGAAAGTCATCGAAGCGAAAGATTTAGAGGAAGAGATGATGCTCTCTTTTAAGTTCGGCACGGGCTTGGGCCCAATAATAGATGGAAAGCGCTTGTATTCTTTTTTCTTCCTCGCTTTTCTCCTCTTGCTCTTCTTCTTCATGGGTCAATTGAGTGACGTCGTTAACCAGAAAACACCAGCAGTTTCTGGATTTGACTTTGATTTTGGATTCCAGTTCAGACCTTGATTCGGGGTTGGATTTGATTTTGGGTTCAAATTCGGATTCAGCCCTGGGTTTTGATTTTGGTCCAACTTCGGATTCAGATACGTTTTTGGATCCGGATTTGGTTGCGAACACGTCTCCTCCCGATCTGGTTTGTTGTCTACTGGAATTGTTGCCGATTCTTTGTCGTCGTTGTTGAACAAATGACTCTCTCCTGTAGTTTCTCTCTGTAATTCCTTATCATCCTCGTCTACATCACAATCTTCCATCTTTTCTTTCTTCACGATCTGTAGTTCGTCTTTAACGAACTCATTGATGATTGCATTGAACCGAAGGTTTCCAACAATATTTTTGGTTGTAAACAGCATACTCCTCAAGATTTCCTGCTCTGATACCATTTGACGCACTCCGAAAGAAATGGGGAGGAATTACAAATGTAATCGACTGATTGATATGGAAAATCGAAGGGTTACAATTAGGTTTCTGGCTTTTGAGAGGCCAGAATCTCTCCACAGACTCACGTCTAAAGGGTTCACTAAACAGAATGATCACCTATTAGTCCCTCACCGGCTTATTAGTAGACATGCATTACCTACTTGTACGCCAATGCATTAACTACTTGTACCACTACTAGTATAGGGTATAACAAGATTTCCATCTCAAAATTTAACAATTTTATAATCAATTTTGGGGATTTAAGTGTCATACAACGGAGGTTTTCAAAAGTCGCTTGTTAATCATTAATAACGGAACACCAAATCTTATGTTCTAGATCACACTATGTAGTTGAAGAGGCTGGCTATTTCCTTGTACATTGTGAACTAAAACCAGAACTTTATAGGTCCATTGACACCATCACGAAATAAAGCATACTCATTTTACCGTCTAGTGGTGTATGCTAAAATTACCTGTACTTTGTCTTATTTGGAGGATAGGAGTTTTGGATTTTATGTGGATAAAGAAGTGATCATTAAGTTTCAACGAACAGTGGAAGTCTAGAACTTCAGCAATTAGGGATTTTTGGTTTAGACGGGAATGAAAATGACAGATAATGAAAATGGGAATGAATTTTCATTTCCCCCAATTTAACTTGGAATGAAAATTTGGGCTGGTGGGGGGAATGGACCGTTATATTATATAAAACCACACAGTTATTTTCAATCCCATTAATTACTGCTTAATACCTCTAACCAAACACCCCCTTTCTTCTGATATCAAATCTGTGGAACAACCACAAATGATAAAGGTTGGATTTTGGTATGATGGTGCTTTTAGCTTTTGAATGCCTTGAGCACTAGCAAGGCCGCAGCTAGCACGCTATGCTAAATTTGGTCCCAATTAGCATATCTGGCCTGGGGGTGCACTGTGCAATGGGGCACTTATGATATATGGCGAGTACTAAATTCTTGATATTCCTCCTAAAATTTGTCTTCTATTTTACTTGCTTGTCATAGACAGAGTCACACAGGTTGTTTCTTGTTCCATTATTTGTTCCTTTAAAAGAAAGGGGGATGCAAACAGGAGAGGATGAATTGAAGTTATAAGTTCAGTTTTTCAGCTTCTTGTATCTGCTGGAAAATGGAGAGAGTAGAGAGCAGGCATCAATATTGATTTCGGCTAGGGTATTCATTTTGAATCTGTTTAGGATAGTCCATAAGTGAATTTATATTCCATATATAGTCCTGACTTCATTAATATGCCTCCTATGCTCTGGAGTAACCTTTCCATTTCTTTTAATCGTACATGTAATTATGAACAGATTATTTTATGTGTCAAATAAGTCTGTTGATCCTTAAATCCCTATCCCAAAATTTTGATTCAATATATTTCTGAATGGCAAATACATTGTTCTAGCTTAGGGCTGCATACATGGCAGTGATGAGTCTATGATTACGAGCTCAAACAATTTGGTATAGTTTTCATCTTTTTCACTTTAGTACTATTGCAATATTTAAGCCAGTGTCTATGATGTTGATGGTCCACAAGAACAAATTTGATGACTTCCATGTATTTTTAACTCCTTAGATGGTTGCTATTAACCTCTTTGCATGCCTTTCAAAGAAATCCATAACGATTTGTATTTTCTTTATCCTTCATTCCTCATAGATCTCTTTTCATAACCATTAATCTTCTTCTATGCTTTTAGTAGAACTATTGTTCTTCAGACCGAAGCTATGACAATTGATTGCTTATTGTGAAGTTTAGTGAGAATAACTAGACAGACTTCTTGTTCTAGTTATTTGGTATCATAACTTTTTCCAGGGCACAAAAGCATTATGCCAGAATTTCATTTATAACAAAGCTGTGCACCTTGCAAAGATGACCCAAACCAGAACCAAGAGAAACATACCTAGTATATCCCACTTGGAGTAGGGTTAATCCTTCCTTTACCCCAAGGGTTATAGAGGGTTTTTTTGTGAAGACCCCCGTCCCTGCTGGCTTGGGGATTTCTTTTTGAAGACACAAATTGTCCAAAAGTTGGAGGGAAAAATTTACTAGCAAAAGAGTGCATGCAAAGGGGGGAACAAAGACAACGAACAAAGTCAGTAAACAATAAGACCAGAAAGAAGAAATGCGAGAAGAAAACTAATAACACCAAACCGGGAATAACTAGGTACTGGGACATCCCTCAACTCCAGCCTTGTAAAGATGACATCCGTTTAGCTAAAAGCCTAAACATCTAGCTGCTGTACAATTGGATTATGGAGAAGGCGGTGATTGAGGTTGCAGATTGAAGCTTTAGACGTCATATCCAGACCTTATTATTAATTTGTGTTTTAGGGGTGTGAAAAATATGATGCACACTCACAAACAGATGCTGATAATCTAAGATCTATCGATCTTTTCTTGTGTTCGCGAAGTCCTCATTAGTGCAGTATTGATTTTGATTTTTTGTGCATCTTATTTGGTTTGTGCATCCTTTGGAAGTTACTTCCCCTTTATTATTTTGAGAGTGAATCTAGAGATTCTTTCGGTTTATGTAATTATGATCCAAGGAGGCCCTCCCTGATTTTTGATAAAATTCCTTCTCTTTGCAGTCAATCTTGCTTATGTGTTACCTATCCAGCATCTGTCCATTGCTATTTTTGGACGAACTTTTTATGCTTGGTTTTTATGCCTTTCTATTTAGGATGCTAGGAAGGGCGTTTTGTTTATTGATTTTCCTCCAGTTCTTCAACTTCAGCTAAAGCGTTTTGAATATGATTTCATGCGGGATACGATGGTAAAAGTAAGTATCTTTTTTTTCAGCTTTTTCTGAGTGTCACAGTCTTTTGATATGATCTATTAGAATATTGGTGTTTATATGCATCAATGTGCACTTGCTATTTTCATCTTTTGGGGTGACGTTAATTGGTGTTGTTTGGGGGGGGGGGGKGTTTCTTTGTAAAATTTTGATAGAAACAAAGGAGGAAAATGCAGTGTCAAAATCTGGTATATATTGGATTATTTTTTGTGGTGTAATGCGTTGTTTAACAGGTTATAGTTAAACCTTTTGTAATTCATTATGCAGATAAATGACCGTTATGAATTTCCCCTAGAGCTTGATCTTGATAGAGAGGATGGGAAGTATCTATCTCCTGATGCAGATAAGAGTGTTCGCAACCTTTACACCCTTCACAGGTATCAAATTATCTTCTTTTTTGGACAAAAAGGTATCAAATTGGCTTTCATGTGCTGTTATATGTGTTTTGGACGATTTGTTTGTGTTTAGGAATTCACGTTGCTGTTGTATGTATCAATCATCTTGTTTATAATGTGAAACATGTAGTAGTACTAGCTTTAACATGCTGGCTCTTCAGAGGAAATGTAGGTTACATAAAACTCCATGTAGCTCTAACTAAAATGGTTGATCATCTGAACTCGAATACAGGAATGTATTGCTTTAAGCTGTATTGGCTGTACTTGGTAGGCTACACTTCCTAGGTCATACTTAATGTATATAGACCTGGATAATGTCTACATATAGTAGGGTTTCATAGTTGTTTTGTGTGTTTGCTCTACTCTCTGCCCATGAATCCGTGATACACCTATCGTCCATACAGATTTTGTGTGACATATATTAGTTTTGAACCCAAAATGTTCAAAGCTTGAATGACAGTAGTTCTTGCAGTGGATTTGCTGTGTGATTCCTATTACTGATTGTTACTAATTAATTTACATTTGATTTTGATTCTCATTAGTTTTGCTATCTATGGCTTGTTTTTTCATGCTCATTTGTCCATTTTTTCTGAGGTTTTATCAACTTACTGACTTGATATTAAACATATATTTTTTATTTATTCTGGGAGATTTTATCACGTGTGTATATTTTTTTGTGTTGGGGGAGGTGAGGGTGCAGAAGACCCATCTTCTCAACTTTCAATCTTTCAGTTCTCTGTTTGTTACGTTCAGGACCAAGTGGCTTTTTACCAGAGTGAATGAGGCGTGGGTGGAACTTTCAGGCACTAGTATATCTTGGTTGATGACATTTAGTTTTTTGAATGATCTCTCTGTTGTGTCAAATAAATATTAGGAAGATACTACAATACTTATTGTATACATATGTCCTTGTTTTGCTTCTTGATAGTGTACTTTTTCCATTCATTGTCCTGGGTATAAGTGGTGCAAATAGTGGAAGAGCCTCTTTCAACGCATAAGTGTTTTTTCATGGGTTTATATTTTGTATTTTCTGGGGATAACTTTGTAGTATAAATTATGCATAATCACCCTCCTTGATGTCACTAACCTTATGTTAGGTTGCCCTTGTTTCATCATCTCATCTTTCATTACTTTCTCTAATTTTTTGCAATATGATAGTGTGTAATATAGATCCTCCAATATTTTTCTTCTTGTCTGCAAGAAAGTGGAAGTGCTATTGATCTCATATCAGCTACTTAGACAAAAGTTGTTCAACTATTTATAGTTACATGAACTTGAGCGTTTTAATCACTACTGGTGTGCATGTATTATATTTGTCCTGAGATAAAGATTTCTCGGCATTTACTTGCCTTACGTATCTTTCTTGGTTACAGTGTTTTGGTTCATAGTGGTGGCGTGCATGGTGGACACTATTATGCCTTTATCAGGCCAACTCTATCCGATCAATGGTAAGCTGTATTTATGAATCACCTTTTCAATGTTTGGATGTAGTTACTTTTTAGTTGAGTGTGATGTATAGAATTAAAAAGGTAAACTAATCCAAACCACCCCAGTATATTGTGTCTTGGGTGGGGTATGGGGGCTGGGGGCTGGGGTTACTCAGACCTGACCCACTATGAATAAAAAATTTGGAAGAAGCAAAGAGTGAGGTGCATATTTTACTTCCAGGTTACAATATGGGTATGTTTTGTTGGTGGTTTGGCCAACCTAGGTTTTTGATTCTTCATAGTTATACCACAGAAATTCCCCAAATGATAAAGCACTTGCCAATAAATCCCCCTGTAAATATCCGTGTTTGTGAGTCACCTAACTACCTATGTGTATCAAGGAATTCTATATTTTGATAAAGAGGAGGTTTATTGCATTGTTTCAATTCATTATCTGAACGCTAGGGTTAGGGTATAGTCTCTCCAAGTTCATCTGTCATCTAATTCAGGCACTGATTTCGACCTAGTTAATAATGAGGTTCGGTACTAATATGTTCTTTGGCCCAGAAAAATTTCTTAGATGGAATGGTTAATTAGCATAGTTAACATGACTGCTTTGATGGAGTTGGTATATGCTTATGTTCTGGAGACCTTTCTCATGTATTTGACCCTGGACAGTTTATGCAGCTATGTTTTCTCTCTGTTGAATTGTGTATCCTGTGGTTTGTTTTTTTGCTTCCAATTAGGTTCAAGTTCGATGACGAAAGGGTTACAAAAGAAGATTTGAAGAGGGCATTAGAAGAGCAATATGGTGGCGAGGAGGAGGTAGCGAGTTACTTTGTCCAATGTGTATCTGCCTCCAACAACTTATCTTTGTATTTAGGGAAAGAACAGCATACTTATCATCTCGTTGTCTTATGCCTTTCTCAACAGCTGCCCCAGACAAATCCTGGCTACAATAATGCTCCGTTTAAATTTACAAAGTACTCGAATGCATACATGCTTGTCTATATACGTGAGAGTGACAAGGAAAAGATAATATGTGACGTGGACGAGAAAGATATTGCAGAACACCTTAGGGTAAACATTCTGATGTTTTTAGATTTATTTGGCATGTTCCAGCTGAGTCTGACATTTGCAGTATAAAGTTAGATTCTTGCATTTATTTTTTTCCAGATAAGGTTGAAGAAAGAGCAAGAAGAGAAGGAAGACAAGAGAAGATACAAAGCACAGGCTCATCTCTACACAATTATAAAGGTTGTTGATACTATTAGAAAATAGTTCAAATTAAATGCCTGAATGGTTCACTTCTGTACATTTTCGGGAAGTCGTTACTAATATATTATAACATGTCTAGGTTGCTCGTGAAGTTGACCTATTAGAACAGATAGGGAAAGATACCTATTTTGATCTTGTGGATCATGACAAAGTTCATAGTTTTCGTATTCAGAAACAGATGCCATTCAACATTTTCAAGGTACTTATATACCGATGTCTTGTCTGCGTTCTATTTTGGTTGCTTATGCATTATGTTTTATACAATTATTACTGATTTTAGTTGTATACATAGTTGCAGTCCATTTCTTGCAGTTGCCTTAAATATATAATTTAACTGTATTCAATTTTGAACAAAGTTGATCAGCATGTGTACTTTTTAGCAGAATGAAGAAAAACAGCAGCTAACTAAATCTGCTGATTCATGTTTATCTGTGTATATCTAATTGTCGTCTTCAAATTATTGTAATAAATATTGAATTTTCCAGATTTTATTCATATGGTTAGCTGTATCTCAGCTTGGAAGTTGAATTTAGCTTTATGTATAAATATAATATATAGTTGTATTCTAACAAAGAAGCCAACAAGTGAACCCACACATGGCTAATATTTAGAATGTTGGTGCCTAGGCAACGACATGACTAAAACTGTTTGAAGTCTTGAAGTTATTAGGTTTTATTGCCCAAGAGAAGGAATTTATGTTGGGGTTCTGTTTTATTCTTTTGAGTTGGATGCTAATTTTATAATTGAAGTGTTGTCAAAACTTCAGTTATTCTAATGGTCTATTTTGGGCTGCAGGAGGAGGTGGCCAAAGAATTTGGCATACCTGTTCAATACCAGCGCTTCTGGATGTGGGCAAAGAGGCAGAACCATACATACCGTCCCAATCGGCCTTTGACGCCACAGGAGGAAACACAATCTGTATACTCCCACTTCTTGATAATGCTCCCTATATGCGCTATTTGTTGTTGCTTTTGATTAGCATATTTGGTATAAAATTGTAATTTTTTTGGTTGGAGGTTTGCATGCACATAATAGATGATTGTTATGCTATACACCTGGCTAGATATAGTAAACATTGCATTTTAACTACAAGATAGAAGTTGGAGGTGGTGATTTAGACAATGAGATAAAAAAAACTCTAGTGCTTAGTTAAATGGTGACGGGATGTTTGTTTTTATCTTATCCATAGATACTGGATCAACCATAATGTGTTTAGTAAATTAGAATAAAATATTTTTATGTGAAATGCAATTAACCTTGTGTAAGAATTCTTAAATGTGATTAGTAAACTAGAACACATCTGTCCATCTCTAGTCCAGAATTTTCTGAGAATTCCTAAATGTTGTTGAACTTTTTAGGATTTTGTTTCAGCTATCAACTTAACTTGCTAATACATCTGTCCATCTCTAGTTCTGAAGTTCTCTAAGAATTTCTGAATGTCGGGGGAATGTTATGAAATCCCCCATCTATCTAGTGATTTTTTTGTGCGTCTTTTGATCATTTTTTTAGTGGCTGTGGGTGGGATACGCTGAGATGGAGCCCTATTGTGCTTGTTTGGTGTAGCTCGTATTTTTGTTGTTATTGTCCCTCCAAAAGTATTTGCTGCAATGTCTTGTTTCTCCTGGTACTGCTTTATTATAGCTGTGGTTGAAATAGTCATTATATGTCATCTCCATTGTACTTCGTGTTTAGTGGTGTTTTTGCCAACCGTTTGCTCTAGCTCCGAGTCTGCTTTGAAATGCATTTCTAGGAGGATTTACCAATTGTGTTACTGTTCATGATAGTAATCATTTGGATTTGCAGGTAGGACAATTAAGAGAGGTCTCCAATAAAAATCACAACGCTGAACTGAAATTGTTCTTGGAGATAGAGATTGGAGTGGTAATATTGTCTTTGCAACTTCATGAATATCTGGTTGCTATTAGATTTTTGAGAAGCTGTACATTTTTTTCAGTCCAGTGGTATTACTAGAATTTTATTTTGTTTCAGGATTTGAATCCTCTTCCCCCACCTGACAAAACCAAAGATGATATACTTCTTTTCTTCAAGCTTTATGATCCTGAGAAGGAAGAACTCCGGTAGGTTAAATATTACTTGATGTATCCCTGCTTTTCTGGGAAGTGTCTTTAATAATAATCACCGTGAAGTTGGATAATTTAGGAGAAAAGATGTTCTATAACACCAATATAATAATCACTGTGCACCAACATATAGTTTTCTCTTGAAGACTCAAGGAATGCTGTTGTAGAACTAGAACTCTAAAAGTAATTGGTGCCGTAAGAATAAGAAAACATATTTTCTGGCAATATGTTATGATGGATTATTTTAGTATTTGCAACTTTTCTTGTTTTTCAGCTATGTTGGTAGGTCTTTTGTTAAGAGTTTCAGTAAGCCGGTTGAAATTATACCGAAGTTGAATGAAATGGCTGGATTCAATCCTGATGAAGAAATTGAACTTTACGAGGTCTGTTTCCTCATACTACCAACTTGGTGTTGCAATTGCTTTGTGCAGAATCAATATTTTGTACACTTGCATAACTGATTTTTGAGTTTTCGTCTGTCATTCATCAGGAAATAAAATTTGATCCATCTGTCATGTGTGAGCGGCTCGAGAAGAATGCTTCATTTAGATCTAGCCAGGTATGAGTATCAAGATTTTCACTTACAGGTATTTTTTAGAATTATACATGAAGTGGCACTTAAATATGAAGAAATTCCTTTGCTTCATTTCAGATTGAAGATGGAGACATTATTTGCTTCCAGAAACTCCATCAGTCTCTTAATGTAGAGAAATACCGACATCCTGATGTTCCTTCTTTTCTGGAATATGTTAAAAATCGTCAGGTACGGTTTGATTTTCCTAGAAAATTCTTTTTATTTACATCCACAGATATAGAGTTAACCTTGTGTATTCGAGTCACATACATCGTGTTAATACAAAAAGTTAACACTCATTTTCTTCGGTTTGCTTCAATTAAGCATGTTTGTGGCTCCGGCTTTTGGCTAGGAGAAAGCTCATATTTGGTGCTGGCCAAGGGTTGATTGCCATTTAACTTCTATCAGATCTCATGAAATATGGGAAAGGCCGTATGGGTATGGGATATTAACAGTTTTGAGACAAAGTGGTCAGTGGGACTTGCCAAAACTTCCCATTTGAAGTCCTAACAATGTAGAATACTGACAGTACTTGACTTCACCACCCGTGATAGCAATGTATGAAGGAAAGACCATGCACTTGTATCTTGAGGTCTTAGGGTTTATTGTGTGCAACATCTTTTTATAGCTTATCTATACTATCTTATAAAGCATTTAGGTAAAATTCTTAAATTTCAAGAGTACAGCATCTATGAAGCAATAAGTACAAAATTACTAATGCATTAATGAAAAACATGAAAACTTGTACGACATAGGTGGAGTGAACTCCATGCCTATAAAAGGTGTCAAAAAGGCTTGGATTTAGGTAGAACACTCAAATTTCAAGGGTAAAACATATATGAAGCATTAGATACAAATTACTCATGCATTAAGAGTTATGAGCAGAACAATTTAAGCATATTTAGCCATTTATATACATATGAGTGTGATTAAAGATGGGTATAATTTCTATTTTTGTTCAAATATAAATTTAAAATGTTCCTTTTTAATGAGCAATTGCATTAATTTTCAATTCTCGGTTCACAATAGAATTCTACCTCTTCCGTGCATCGCACGGATACCCAACTAGTAAAAGAAAATGCACCAAGCCACCAACACTTTTTCTTGCCCGAGGATTATGCTCTACGTCTGGAAGATTTGCGAATTAATGTAAATGGTAAAGTTTGTCAAATATATTACAGATTAGCAATACTATAGGTAAGCAATATCATACGGAGCTGAAGTAACTTGATGAATTTTCCTCATGCTCTGTACATGAGTTGGTCCCCTATTTCAGTTGGAATATCTAATGATATTAAGTGAGCTTCCTCCCTGCCTTTTTCATATAATTTTGTTCTTCGCAGATAGTTCAATTTCGATCTCTGGATAGACCTAAAGAGGATGATTTCTGTCTGGAACTGTGAGTTCATTTTTCCATTACCAGATTGCTGTACATGAGCCTGATGCTGTTTGTTGACTGTTGACCAATTCTCTTCATGTGTTCACAGGTCAAAATTGCATACATATGATGACGTGGTGGAGAGAGTAGCCCAGAAGCTTGATCTGGATGATCCATCCAAAATCAGGCTTACTCCACACAACTGCTATTCTCAACAACCCAAGCCCCATCCTATTAAATATCGAGTTGCAGATCATCTGCTAGACATGCTTATTCACTACAATCAGGTTTTTGTAATTCGGGTTTCTTTAGATTGATCCTTTATGTGGTCATCTTTTTTGCATAGCTAGTTCGATATTGGTGAAATTTTGAACAAGTTGCAAGCAATATGAGGCGAGTCTATTAACTGATTCACTCTTTTTTTGCTCACAGATTTCTGATATTCTGTACTATGAAGTGTTGGACATCCCTCTGCCACTGTTGCAAGGTCTAAAAACTTTGAAGGTTGTTTTTCATCATGCTACAAAGGAAGAGGTATGTTACTAAAACTTCAATAGTTTTCTTTTCTTCATTGAAGGGGGGATAAAAGTGTCTTAATTTTGCTGAATATGTTATTGATATATTTGTTGGTTCTTATATTCTGTTGTACATTTTGTTGCAGCCTGTAGTTCACAATATCAGGTTGCCTAAGCAGAGTACTGTTGGAGATGTTCTCGATGAATTGAAGACAAAGGTATGCTTTCAATAACAATTACATGGAATAGCACTTATGTTATCTTAAAACTCGACCTAACATAAAAAGGAATCTTAGATTGCTCGTTATTGACACATTGTGTGTATAATACTGCATTGTGAGGTAGGCCTCACTCCAAAATGAGGCATTGCATGAACTCAAATACTAATTTTACATTTTTAAGTGCATAGCTATCATCAACTTCTGTCAAGGATGCAAGAGAAATGTGTACATCTTTTCTTAGTTAAAATCTTGACTTTATTTTTTCACTGCGAGAGACCTTTTTTCTGGCTTCATTAAAATCTTAATTCTATTCTTTCACTGCAAAGGTCATGGTTCATATTTTAAAGCAACACTTTGTGTTCATTATGGGAATCATTTCATGAAAGAATACCTTTCTGTAGCTATCCAGCATATTCCTGTAATTAAATTATTATTTCAAACAGGTGGAATTATCCCATCCAAATGCTGAACTGAGACTGCTTGAAGTATTCTACCATAAGATTTACAAGGTATTGCATTGGCTTTACTTTATTGGTGTTCTTTTCCTATCACCATTTCTAACAGATCCCGAGGGTTAATTACCTTAGGGTTTTAGTTGGGCATAAAATCTACTATCCAACTATGTTGACATAATAGTTTCCTGTTATTGGGCGCGTCTCCAAATTGTTTTTATTATTCCTTGTATGTGCATATAAAAATTGTAATGCTTGATCAATATGAACCTATATTTCTTGTATGTTTTTGTTTTCCTCCGTTTCTATGTTCTTGGACGCGGTTCAACCCCTAGCACAAGCATGTGTCAAAATATCAGAAAAGAGTCTCTGCGTTTGTCATAAGTCTGTACATTAGACCCTTACAGGGGGAATGTGGTAATCCTGCACACAGGGATGTTTTTTTTTTTAATTGTGTTCAATTTAAATTATGTGGAATTGTATGTCACATTCTATTCTGTATTTTTTTAATATGTTCCTTTTTCTGTTTGCTTGCAGATTTTTCCTCTGACCGAGAAAATTGAGAATATAAATGATCAATACTGGACATTACGTGCAGAGGAAGTAAGTTCTGTTACCATTTTTTCTTTTGCTTTTACCTACAATATATGCTGTTTTAACACGTAAAACTATCTAGAAATTAATACCGATACGATATTGCTTGTATTCAAGTCACACTTTTAAGTCGAGTACATGTGTATAAAAATTGTCTGCATATCAGTTGTAGATTCTCTTGTTGTGCCCTTTGGATAAATATGCACTTTTTGGAGGTTGCTTGATGTAAAGAATTGTTTTTTTTACCTCAGATTCCAGAAGAAGAGAAAAACCTTGGGCCCCTTGATCGCTTGATTCATGTTTACCATTTCACCAAAGAGACTGCACAGAACCAGATGGTACGTAAATGTGTGGATGAGCAGCTATTTGGACTATGTCACCGCATAATTTATTAACAGTTCCATTTTTTTAATTGTTTTGTAGCAAGTGCAAAACTTTGGAGAGCCCTTCTTTCTGGTAATTCGTGAAGATGAAACTTTGGAAGATGTGAAAGTTCGTGTTCAAAGGAAGTTGCAAGTTCCTGATGATGAATTTGCTAAGGTACATCTTATAATTGATACTCGCGTAGTGAACAAGTGGTAGTTATATTTTCACTATACAGGATAGGACATGACGGACAAAAACTTGTTGTCCAACCGCCATTGTTTGGTGCGACAATTAGACTGAGACTGGACTAAGTGGGGAAAATGCATTTTTTCTGGTCCCACAGAAATAGGTGGAACAAAAATAGAGAGATGGGATACGTTTGATAAATGACAAAACTATCGATGTCAAATTGAAAACCATAAAACCTTCCTATAGTTCTTTACCTGCCAGCCTGTGCAGTCCAGTTCCGTTCGCATACCAAATGCACCGTAAGGGGATATTTGATTGGTTTTCCATTAAGTTCTGTATGGATTAATATGTCTGTATGGATTTTGAAGGTTTTTGTTTGGAGGGGTTTTTCATAGGTAAAAGGTGTTTTTTAATTGGGAGGGGCAGGTATGGAAATTTTTTGGCTTTCGGCATAAAGCTCCCTCTAGAAGCTTACTGAATAAGCAACTTTCTATATCATTAGGCCACTACCAAACAGTCATGTATAGCTGACCGAATAAGCTGTGAGGCCTATTAAGCTGCTAACAAACAGGCCCTAAAGACAATTTCTTCATCATCAGTCGGTGATATTCAACTTGCTGTGGTGCTGCTTTTTCTATATTTTTGTTGATTAAAACGAATTTTTTTGTGGGTGATCAGTGGAAGTTCGCATTTTTATCTCTCGGCCGGCCCGAGTATCTTGATGACTCTGACATCGTGTCTAGCCGTTTTCAGGTTCATCGTGGTTTATACTTGCTTATTGATTTTATTTACTTCATTGACTTGCACTGAGCTATTGAATTGCATTATTTTTAGCGGAAAGATGTTTACGGCGCTTGGGAGCAGTACCTTGGATTGGAACACCCAGATACCAGCCCTAAAAGGCCATTCACAGCTAACCAGGTAACTTTATTTTGGTTTCTAGGTTGCGTTTGGTACACTGTACATTTTCCCCCACATTTCATGCGACATTTAGACCATGACATGATTGGACTGAGTAGGACAAAAATGCATTTTTTGTGCAACTAAAATAGGTAGAGCAAAGATCATGGAGGTGGACAAGATTGGTAAATTACTAAAAACCCATGTCAAATTAAAACCCTAAAACCTTGTACCTCACTCTCATTCGTCTAGTTCAGTCCGTTTGCGTATATACTGATTAGAAAAGGGGAATCACTGTTCCACGTATGACAGATCTTTTATGTGGAGCAGACAAGAACATGGTGGAACAAACCTATATTTTACCAATATAACCTTAAAATAAACTTAATTATCTTCTAAAACATCAAATACGTCTCCCTCTTTACATTTTATCCATTCTTTAGATTTTATTATTGCATTTTATCCTTCTCTAAACTTTCACATTATTATCCTCAAAATATAATTTTTACACATTTTCTATATTTTGGTTAATTTATATTATTTATTAAATATTAACAATAGAAAAATCATATAAAAAATGTATAAAANNNAAAATTGAAAATAAATAAATTTCATATTTTGGTGTCATTTTAATAGTTTTGACAAGAACTTTTTAATAATATATTTTGTTATGAAAAATATTTATTTTATTGTAGTTTAATAAATTACATAAACTAATCAAAATATATAAACAACTTATTAGTGGTAAATTGGTCGTTTTACATGTCCTATCAAGTCCTTTTCTACCAAATGTTAAACAACCGTTTTGTCATTTCTCCTTTGTTCTATCCTGCCATGTTTTGTACCGTCTGTATACCAAACGCACCTGTGATGTACAAGTTGTTTTGCTGACTATTATTACTAATGCATGTTGTTAAACCTGCAGAACCGTCACACATACGAGAAACCGGTTAAAATATACAACTAGAAGAGAGTCTCATAGCATATGTTGGTAATGGTTGGTGACCCAAAAACAAAAACAAAAACAAATGTAAAGTATTTGAAGGAGAAGGCAGTCTAAAAGGTTTTGTTCATCATCTATTAACTGTAGGCTGCTGCTATTCATTTTTTACTTTTTCACCTGTGGGTTGTTTGGCAGTTTTGTCTTGGGTTTAACTCTAATGCAGTGCAGTACATAACAAGATTTTGGCTTATGAATTATAGGTTGGTGGGTGGGTGGCCTTTTCTTCAACCCCTTTGTAAAACTGTTGGCTTTGACTTTGACTTTGACTTTGACTTGATGGAATTCTGCTTTGTGTAAAAAAAGTTGCTTACATTTCTACTGCTTGGTTTATTTGGTTGTTGATGTTCTCTTTGGCACATCCATCTTTGTATGATTGTAATGCATGCAAATTTGTGTCACCTCTACTATATCAGGTGCTTGAAATTTAACTAGTGCTTTTATTTCTATTTGACCACTTGGGTTGTGGTGTGCCGGGTTTGAATCCTGGTGGGGTTTGAATCTAGATGGTGTTAAAGCTTTTTTAGTCATGGAGGTTTATCTGTGGTGACTTCATGCTATTTGTGGTTGGTTCGGAAACGTAAGGTTATTTGAAAAATGAAAACAAGTACATATTTTTAGTGTAAGTTTTGTTTTAAAGTGGTAAAAATCTTCTAATTTTCAAATTTATCCTTAATTATGAATTTATGATGCATAAAAGCTTGACTTATTGAGATTTTATTGTTTAATATAGGTAAAATTGTGTGCTTTTTTTAATTAACTTGGATATTCAATCCGCTATGCGAGCCGACTAATCCTAAAGCGATCACCCGCTTCGTAGGTAGCCTGGAGTCACCGCATTTGAACCTCCGTAGCCACAAGGGGATTTTTATTCCTCTTTGGATTCGAACATGGGACCTCTAGACACTTTTGACCTATGAAGCCCAAACTCAAACCAATCAGACACTACTCTTATGGTTTTGTGTGGTTTTTATGGATACTTGTTTTGGGACCAAGACCAAAGGAGTAGCAATTCGACCTTGGGTGGGTGTCATGGGTTGCAAATGAATGTTTATCTTAAAGAGGAGAGTTCAAACGAGAAGATAATTTATGTGAAGTATTTCAAATCACATGTGATACACATGCAGTTCTGACTAGCTGCATGTGTGAGTTTTCACACAACCTTGGTCGTGTTAACCAGTCGCATGCATTTGTATCAAATGTGGTTTTGCTTTAAGATCCCATATGATTGGTCCTTTCATTCACTTCTCATAATTATATCGCCTTCTTACATCTTAAAATGTAGTCATGTTGAAGAGAAATCCAATGGCATATAATTTTTTTAAAATATAAAAATGATAATCATGAAATAGAAATTAATCATACTTGAGAATTTGTTTTAGCAAAAAGAATCTCATGTTATGTTTCAATTCTCAAAATATAAGATGATAACGCAAAAAGCACAAACAAATTTTAACAAAAGATAGAGGGAAAAAAAAGGGTAAGTTTGTCTGAAAACTCGTGGTTATCAAAAAAAAAAAAGTTTGGTGTAATGAACAATAATACATCATATTTGATGTAACACTATTCATTTACATTAAATTTTACACCAAAATGAAGGTTAAAAAGAAAAATATCAAGAATATTACATTTCAGTGTAGGATTTTGATACGAACATGGTCGTTTAACTGCAGCCATTGTTGTCTTTTTATTTCCCTATGTCATAATGTCTTATTTTGCATGTATGAAGTGCCGGTTTCAAGTAATTTTTATAAGTGTTGAGGTGGAAATTATAAGAATGTTCAAGAGTAGTTAACGGATCATGGTCCATAAAGGTTATCTTTATTTTATATGCTTGTATGGTTACCATTTTATTTCAAGAAAATGCAATTTCTTCCTCCTCTTATCTCTATTCTTGGAGATCGTTCATCTCCAATTGGATTCAACAAATTTGGCGTTACCCATTGAAATAGATTTACTGTAACACCAATTTTTATGAATTTGGTATTACCTGAAACAACCCTCCCTCTTGCACCACAATAAACCACTTTCTCTTTAGATCATTTTTAATGTTTCTAAGTTCAAAGTAACAAATTAAATAAAAAAAAATCTTTAAATCATTTAAAATCAAGGAAATAGTCATTTTCAAGGACCAAATTCATCTATTAGCCATTTCTTATCGAAGATTTTCAAAATATCACTACCTTCATAAGTGACACATTTGTGACTTGTTGATGAGCTAAAACAAAAAAATCACTTTTCATGCAAATGGTACATCTGCAAGTGAGTGAAAATTGAAAAAAAAAATCACTTTTCACCCAGGTCTGCAAATGACACCTCCGTAAGTGGGTGAAAAATGAATCGTTTTTGTCTTTTAGCTCCTCCACAAGTCACGGAGGTGCAACTTGTAGAAGCAATGATATTTTTGAAAATTCTAGAGAAAAATAGCTAAAAGATAAATTTGATATCTGGAAAAGGCTATTTTGTTAATTTCCATTTAAAACCATGCCTTAAAAATTTGTTAAGAAACCCAATTTAATTTAAGCTCACGATCACCAACAACAAATATTGTTAAATAAAAAGAAGCATCAAACAAGACAGATTGGTGAACTGTCCAAACTTGTAATTTTCCTACAATGGAATGAAATCAAACAAATCCCCATGACTTAATCCAACAAAAACCAATAGGGAAGTTGTATATTTGGCTAAAGTACTCTATACGAAATCAAGCCATCAATCGTCTCAACGACTAAACGGTTCATCTTCACGAGTAACAGCAAATATGATCTGGTTTTCGGGCCTACATTCACAAACAGCAGAACTTATGAAGGTCAAGTTCTTAATGTTAATGGCTGAGAGATGGGCTTGTTTTTGTTATCCATGGTCCCAATGCAAAGTCTTTATGACTACTCAAGGTGCCAATACAAAGTCTTTATGACCTACTTACTACTCATGGTGCCAATACAAAGTCCTTTATGAACTACTTACTGCTCGCGGTGCCAATACGAAGTCTTTATGAACTACTTACTGCTCGCGGTGCCAATACGAAGTCTTTATGAACTACTTATTGCTCACGGTGCCAATACGAAGTCTTTATGAATTATGAACTACTTACTGCTCATGGTGCCAATACGAAGTCTTTATGTACTACTTACTGCTCACGGTGCCAATACGAAGTCTTTAAGAACTACTTACTGCTCACGGTGCCGATACGAAGTCTTTAAGAACTACTTACTGCTCA